CGAATCTTGGTTTGACAAATATCAAAATTATTTGTTGTAATTGTGGTCGCCCCTCATCAAGGAATGGCGGTCCCTCTAAAGCACAAGTTGGAGGAGGAGCCCTGCCGAAAATCGCTTCAGTGGTTACTAGCCCTTTGCAGCGGATTGCATAAGTTTAATCGGAAGGAAATCTAGATTTAATGATATATATATATATATTTAAAAAAAATTAATTTTTAAAAGAAAATATTCCCAACTCTGTCCTTGTGACATCCTTTCCAGTGATTCTTCGGAAAACAGGTGAGACGGCTTCGTCAGTAGAATTCATGACAGGATCGTAGGAAGTAAAAAAATATTAATTTTAGTTAAGACCATAGACTACAATAGAATTTTGAACAAAGAAAAAAGGGAAAATTGAATGTTTTGTATTATTTTTTATAAAAAAAAATCATTTTTTATTAAAATTTGCTCAACTTTTTTATTAAAGAGTTTTGATTCGAAAAAATTCTTCGTTCGATTTCTCGTAATTCAAGTTAAAAAACCGTTGTAAAATTTCATCAAGAGCAGTTGAGTAGTTATCGAAAACTTCTACAAATCGTCTTTGAAATCAAAATTTTGAAGAAAATGTGCTAAAAGTTTAAATACCTGGGCTAACCAGCGTACACCTTTCCAAGGCTGTAACTTTTATTCCGAACGACTTGAAAGTTTAGCATAATATTTTCAAGATTTTCTACAAAGTAATAAAGTAATAAATAAATAAAAAAGAAATTCGGTTTTTATAGCTGCAAAACCCTTGTAACCACTTAAGATAGTACAAGATCTGCTGGGTCTGTTAATCTAGAACTAACTATAGAGTGCGATGAAGCCGTGGTGTTGGTGGTATTGAGGTGAGTAAACAGTAAAAGTTAGAGTGAAGGGGAATGTGAATAATTTTCTACACGAAAATACTTTTTCGATTACTATCACTTTTAATTTAATGATTTAATTTAGTTGTTTTTTTTTTCATTTATTTCTTCCATTAAAAAAAGAAGCATTATTCATGCATGTTTATGAACATATTGTCTACTAAAAATAATTTGGGGAATGGGTCATTGAACTTGGTAATAAACTGAATTTGCAGGAAAATAATAATTGCTATTGAAAGTTGGGAAAAGCGTTTAAAAAATTAAAAAAAAAAAAATAACTAACTAGTGAATGCATATATCAAATTAGGTAAAAGCAACACCACAGGAGATGAAAGACAAACAAGAAAAAAAAATATATAAAAACATACATGCTCTTTAACGATATTTTTCTCAAACACTATGCTGATGTTGTACTTTCAGCAACTCCTTACTGTTGAAAATGATTTGACGAGAAAGCAACTGGTTACAATACCAGTTATGGTAACAGTTAAAATAACAAATATTCATTTGACTAATGCTCAAAATTATTGAGTTTATTATTGGTTATGATTTTTAATTTTCATTTTTAAATCTCCTATTAAATTTATCCTCCCCATGCACAGGTATTTATTTCACTTTACAAATACCAAAATGTTTTTTTTTAATACTCTTCACTCTTCTATTCCAATGACTTGGCAATATTTTTTAATTAATTGCTCCATATTACTTTAGTATTTGTAACAAATTTGTAAACAACTTTCAGTTGACCTTGAATATTGACAATACTAATAGTAATTTGGCGAAAGGCAAGCAACTTTGAGTATTATGAGAAATAAATAAAAATCGAAAAATACCAAAATTATTGTGTTTATATTTCTAAGCAGTAGTAAATAGTGCGAGCGGTAAAGATCATAACGAAAAACTATGAGAAAATTAAAATCAATTTTGTTATGTTAACGTCCTTCTACTTAGTGCTTTGCAGACCCACCCAAAATACATTGAAGCTCAGTGCACAGAAATCGTTATTTAATTTTTGTGCTGATTTAATGCTGACACCTTACTATAATTAATTTTAAATTTTGAAAAATAAAACAAAAATATTTTTTATTAGCGTTTTTTTTTTTTGGCAATGCCGGTGCAACGGTAATGGCAACCAATTGCTTAAGTAATACAATATTATTTGCTATTCAATTAAATTAAATCAGTTTAGTGCTGAATAAATAAAATTAAAAAGGAAGAAAAAAATTAATCTGCTTTTTATTTTTTTATAAAAAAACAAATTTTGAAAGGTATAACAAATTTCAATTGAAATTTAATTGAAACAATTCAATGATTTCCAGTGTGCAAGCTTATAAAATAAAACAGGTGAAAAAATTATGCAATCTTGTGCTTATCATTAAGCATGCATATGTATTGTTGTACCGGGTTAACCATTTGGCATTTTTGAAAATAAACGTAATTTAAATGCATTTAAAATAATTTATTTGTGAAACTCCTTTTTTATTATAAATTACTATATATAGTATACTGCCAAGGTTCTGTATATGTGAAACATAAAATCATTGATCGACCATCGATTTTTTGCAAACCTCGCCTCTTTTGAGCTAATTTTCGTTTCCTCTCTGGCACATCATGGGCGGTATCTCAGCCATGACTTGACGAATGATGGTTTTTAAGTGCTCAAGAGATTTATCCGTTTAAAAACGATCTTACGCCTGGACACACAAAAAAAAATCTAGCGATGTCAAATCGCACGATCGGTGGTCGATTGACCTGCCCGAGACGAGAGACTTTGCGGCGAGGAAATTTCATGCTGTGGAATGAGCAAACCGATGATGCATGGACCTTACAATATCTGCACCCATTTAGTTTCTTCGAATTTCTTTCAAATTTTATTAACTGCTTGAGTAGTTGGACGATTAGGTGTACCATAAAATCCTCTTAAGGCACGAATCAACATTTTAAGAGAAATTTTTAAAAGTTTTACCGCGTTGTGCGGTTGCTATGCCATTCATTCATAAACGTTTGACAGTTAAGCTTGACAGATGTTAAAATGCTGTCCTGTTCTTTTGTAACCATGAATAGGATAATTCTAAGTTGACTATTCGCCACTAAATGGGTTAGCAGGATATTCTCCAGTTTACTTTTCAACTAGTTTACTGGAAAGCAGATTACCTGTAGTATTCTAATTTGAAAAGAGTTCGACAATCCATTTAAAATTTGTCAGATGCCTTTGGTGGATAGCAGAAAGAAGAGGCAGGAGCAAGAATTTTTTTAAAAAAAAGGGAATAATATTTCGCAAGATAAATTGCAGTAATTCAAGAAGTTATCCCAGAACAGTAAGTCAAGCGGCGGGACACTGGGTATTAATGAGAAACAATTGAAGATGCTACACATCGAATGTCGTCTTGAGAACCTTAACAGGCAACCCCCCGTTCTCATCTGTAGGCCAATTGTATAGTTGAGACGTTATTGCTTCCAGGGATCATCCTACCAGGCACTTCAGGATGATAGCACTTAACTTTACTCAATTCATTCAGCATTATATCGCAAAGTCACTAAAAGCGACGTACTACTGGCAGGCCCTACATACAAGCTATTCGCGAATAGTCTGAATTCTGCTATCGGAAACCAACCATCATCCTTCTAAGACGAAGAGCTCGTGCTGCGTCGTAATATACCCGAGTGATAGTGTGGACTGTGCAGAAAACTCCGCCTCCACTTATTCAGATGAGTGTCCGACTTATCGATCATATGTCCTACAGACAATGAGCCCCCACAAGCCACTAACCACCTTTTTGCATGTCCATTTAAATGTACTTATCTAATATCTCCTAGTGCAAACCCTAAAAACACCTCGTTTATTGGGCAAATAGTTAGATGATCTTGAGCATAAGGACGACGATGCCTGCCGGGTTGCGTATACCCTACAACAACAACGGAAGGTTTCGTAGAAGTTATGTTGAAGAAGCTTTAGCAGAACGTTTTATTCTGAATAAAACTTCGTCTCAAAAGCCGAGCAGAGGATTTTGACTTCAAACGTGGTCAGATCTCGCAGCCGGTAATGTCTATCACTCTGACTTCTGACATGAAATAAAAAGCTCCTCATTCATTAGCTGACGATAGCAGCCGGCTAGCAGAGGACCGTACATAAAAGCTCTGTTTAATGGAAAAAATACTGGTTTCAAATAAGAGTGAGTTGTAGTTAAGTCTCAGAAGACTCAGTCTTATTACCCACTGTTTAGAGTTTAGCCCAGAAATGTCCTATTTCTAGATCTTATCTTTGTTATCTCCCTCGTATGTAATTCATTCAGGCAATTTATGGCGTAAATAAAGTCCTCAATTTGCAGGAGTTAGCTTTAAGCTGGTACCCAAATGAAAAAAATAATTAAATTACGGTAATATTGTCTTAGCTAAATAATCCTTACTAAACATTACGAAAAAAAAATATTTATAATTTGAATCCTTTTTACGCAGTTCATGTAACAAATACTTTACACAACCGACCAACAACAAAAATTATGTCATAAGAAACTGGAAATAAAAAATGTAGCTATTTGGGTTAGCCGCTCTCGAAAATCCAAATCCGAATGACTTATAAACCAGACTTAAGCCATTAAAAGCATTAGAGAGAGAGATAGAGGCAAGAAAAAAAGTGAAATATATTTGAAATGAAATACTCAACAACAGTTAGCAGAGCAGCAACTTCGAATGAAAACGAGATCATAAAGTTGGTAAAACACCCACCAGGCATTGGCCGCATGCCAAACCAACAACAATAAGCTTGACTTAAGCCTTTTGGACTGTCACTCGCACGCCCATAACTAGCCATTAAATCTGGTATGATTGCCACACGCCGCGGTATGGCTTACTTTAAAACAAAAACCAAAAAAAAAAAAAAATATNAAAAAAAAAAAAAAAAAACACAAAAAAAATAATAACAAAAAATCAATAACAACGACCATAAAAACTCGCACATATGTATGTATGTATGAATAAAACCAAAAACAAAATGTGAACAATTTGCGGGTAAACTGTAGGTTTACTTGTTGTTGCACACTTAAATGCCTAACAATGTTGCAATAGATTTTTTATCGATACACATAATTATAAATAACAGTACAAGAAACGACTTACCACAAATTGTTGCACTTGCATATTTACACGTGTTGTACTTGTATATGTGTAGGTGAAAGAATCGCGTTTACTGAATTTCAATTAGTTTGTTTTTATTGTGGTTTGTGGTAATATATGCTTACGGCGCACGTAATAACAGTTAAACAGTTTGCTTCTTTGTTTTGTTTTGTTTTTTTTTTTTCTTTTCAAATTCAAATATTACTGCAAGCACTTCCGGTTCTAATGCGCAGGCGCACTAACACAAACAAATAAATACAATCCGATACACAAGCACAATATATATTTAGAAAGTTTTTTTTTATTATTGTATTTTCCCATGAGCTGTATTTCAGTTTTAGTTATGAGTCGTTTCTTCTTCTTCTTGTTGTTCGCCTCAATTTTCTTCAAATGTAAATGAGCTGCTTTTGCGCTCGCTACGTTCGCTGCTGGGCGTTGCCTAGGTTTGATGGTGTTAACCTTTCCGTTGAAATTCGCTTGTCAAATGCTTTATGCCACACGTTTCCATTTCGTTTTTATAGTGAACGCTTGTGCGCCAACAACCAACAACAACAGCAACAGAAACAGAAACAGTAATTGTAACGACAGCGCGGATAAAGGTGCCGAAGTAGAAGAAGAAGAAGAAGAAGGAGGAGGAAAATTTAAATCGACAGCTTTGAATTTTCGATTGGAAGTGAGCTTTTCTGCATTTTTTAACTGGAAAAAAGCTAAGAATTTGAGCGTGTGAGTGTTTGGGAAAAATAAATAACGAGCTTCCGGCGGAAGTTCTGTTTTCACTGAGCGATCTGTTAAAAAGTTGTCTTACTAAGAAATGTAATTCTTCAAAAATGATTAAGAAACTTAAGCTTTTTAAAATTAAATTAAGCAATCGTGGCGAGAGTCGGTGAAGTGCTTTTGAGCCACCTAAGAAAGCGGAAAATCAGTTATAAAAAAAAAAACAGTTGATTGAACTACGCACTGCTTGCGTGCATTATAATCAGCAAATCCAACGACGGCAGCAACAAATCGAAGTTTTACCGTTAATGACAAACAAATAAGGCTTTGATCCAGTTTTTTTGCTTGTTGTTTGTGCCAATGAGCAATAAATTTCGATTGTGCTTTGCATACGCAAATTTTTTTTTGAAGTTCGTTTGTGTCTACGTACGTTATTTATGTTCAAGTTAGGGTGATCATATTTTACTGATTAAAAAATATATTTCAATTTTTTTTTGTTTCATTGAATATTGATAACTAACTCTTACAAATTTTACAAGAAAAATTATATAATATATATACATTCAAACTGCCCGCGATGAATATTTTTCAGCACTTTCTTTTGTTGTTCGCATTGTCGGCGATTTAATTCCGAGCCTTCCTAATGGCAGTACGCAATGCCAACCATTCGGCTACCGCGGCCACCATTGTCCTTAATACTATGCAAAGTGAGCACTAACTGTCAACCAGTTTGTTTGCAGCAGTTGTTGAAATCAGTCGATCTCTTTTACGGCCTCAATCAAGTCGGAACGGGTAATACGGAGTGGCAACTTGAGTTTTGGAAACAAAGAAAGTCATATGGGTCCAAATCCGGTGAATACAGTCGTTGATCGATGGTATTGAACGAGTTTTTGGCCTTAAAAGCGTTCACAACTACAGCTCGGTGCGGCGGCGCATTATTTCCTGAAATTTTCTGACTGTCTACAACGGTAGTTTTTGCGCAAACGCCACAAAACACTCAACCACTTCTCTTTATTGACCGTCTGTCCGCTTGGAACGAGTTAATGATGAACCAAATCGCGAATATCGAAAATAAAAACCATTTCCGTATATCATGTGCGTTTGTTTAATACAAAATTTCAAAAACTTATATTTTTTTAAATTTAATGATCCAAATATCAAATCTGACTACATCTGTGTACCAAGTTCGGCAAAAATATCTCCAAAACTTAGGAACTAACTTGCATACCAATAGACGGATCTCAACTCGTTATTCTGACCCGTACGTTAAAAATTTGTATGGCTCTATCTCCTCTCCTTCTGGTACTTATATACTTCGAACCAAATTTAATATATCACGTCATGCACATGAAAAGTATAGAAAATCATCCAAACTTCCATTTCGGAGCCTCATACGTGACTTAAATATATGTTGGCACACATATTCACATATTAAGTTACCCCAAAAACTTTTAATTTTTAGTTTTAAGAGGTGGATTTAGATTTGAAACTGGATGTAACTGAGTCACATTTATAACTAAATTTTGTTTATATCTGATTTTATTTTAGAATTAAATACTTCTCGCCATCGCCTTCCTATTGTGTTTGTTTTCCAAAAATTGGATTGCTCTAAACTATTAAATTTTTAAACATAAATATTTTGTTGAAGATCTACAAATAGGTCTACACTAATGTGGGGTCCGTTACCCTACGAATTGTGAAGCAACTCCTGCCGAAAACAGCTATTACAACTCTGCTCTTCCTCCTACACTCATATACCGAAAAATAACAGCCAACAATTTACCTTTCCTTTCCGACATTTTGAACTGCTGTGCGGGTGTCGAAACCTTTTTATGTCACTGAGTACACTCTTGTTTCCTCTGTGCATTGGCTACCCATCTAGCAGAAAATTTTACTCTAGAAAAGTGTTCATATAAATTTTTTTTTTAAATTGTTTTATTTGATAACATATTTTTCTTCAATCTGTCATTCGCTGTTATGAAGCTGCGCAGACAATCGATATTTTTTCAAATCGATTGTTTCTTTTTAATATCGATTTCATGAATGAGAAATAGCGGTTATTATGATAATTAATTAATAATTGTAGAAATTGATTTGTATTTTAGTTTTGAGTTATTTTCTCCAACTTCTTTGTTTTGTTAAGGTAAAAATAAATTTTCGATATAATTAACTTGAATTTGTAATAATCTAAAAGTCATCTTTTTGATGATTTCTAATATCTGTTATCCTTAATGGACGTCACTCCAATCGGTTGTTTGTGGAATACTTTCACTAGTAAATCGAATAGGGCCTCCTTTGAATGCAAAAACGAGGTATATATAAAAATCTATTATTTCTTCGAAAATCGGGTTTCACATGTGAATTTATCTTGAAAAAAGTAGAAGATATTTTCGATTTGAGATCACCTCTACCAGAAGTGCTTCTACAGTCGTATATTTTCGTAGTAAATCTAAGAACTTAAATTTTCACTAAATGTATATTTTTTTTTTTAACTAAAAACAGAAGATTTTTCGAATAAAAAAATTTTTCAGAAAAAAGTTAAAAGAGATTACAAAAACTTGTGCACTTAAACAAACGGACCGCCTTCAAGTTTACCATTGCAAAGCTTTAAGTTGCGTGCAACTAAAACTTACAGAGATTGAGCTTTCTAAACAAGCTCACCGTAGTACAAGGGTGTGTGTTTTCGATAAAGCTAAAGAAATAACATAAATTTATAAGAAAATTTTAAGCAAATATTTATTTATTTAAGTACATACATTTATATGCAACAACTTAATTTGTAATGATGCAAATTTTTAATGACATTTTATTATTAATTAAATTTAATTCATTATTATGTAAATGTTTATATGTATGTAATGTATGTGCAAACGTATAAAATTATAAATTGCAAGAAATTGATTTCAAATACCATTTTATATCTAATACAAAATATTCAAAAGATCTTAAACTATTTATTTATTTATAAGGCGACATTAATATGAAATATACAAAAAAAAAAAAATAATTGAATTAATTATCATTATAATGTGTGCATATATAATTGTATGTGAATGATGAGTTTAAATCATCACTTAAAATACTATGAACCTAGCTGCCTCATTGAATACATTTCTGCAACTCTTTTACATTTGCCAATTGTCAAATACAGATTATCACAGTTAAAACAACACAGTCGTGTTTGACAATGTTGTTTGTTTTTAATTTTTTGTTATAGTTTTTTAATTTGATTTAATTTAATTTTATTTTTTTTTCAGCAACTTGTGCTATAATGTACTTATTCATTTACCGCGAGAGGTTTTGAATTCATTAAATTTTAAAACAATTAACCAAATTGTCATGCCAAGCCAATCTCTTTGAACATTTGCCCGAGTGTTAGTGTTCAATGTCTTTCATTAAGAATAATCCAATAGCACCGATGATACCACAAACTCCCATTATGCTCATCGGCAGCAGTGGATCCACACTTTCCTGCGTGAGAAAAATCATATAGCAAATGAGGAATATATCACTTTCTGGCAGTAAAGATTTGTGTATATTCATTTAACTTACCAATAACCACATATAAGGTACTAAGATGAGAGCAACGCCCGCTGCTAGACTGCCCATACCCACACCGAAGTTACGCACCACTGTCGGATATTGCATGGCTGTATATGAGGGTATGATGGCATTATTGGCACCAATAACGCATTTTGCTAGTAGTAAGAAAAGGTATATATATACATATTTAGTGTTTATAGCAATAAAATAAACGTAAATATAAATATAATAAACATTAAACACAACACAATATCACAAATGCTTTGCTCAAACTATTTCATGATGTCAAATTATTTTATTATATTAAAATTTAATTAATTTATTTTATCTAATTTTATTATACTAAAATTTGTATTATTTTATTTTAGCTTATATTAATATTATATGTATTATATAATTGGCTCTTGTGGCAATTAAAAATATAAGTTTTCTATAATTTTAAATGTTGAGCGAACCAGGACTCAAGCCTTTGCTTTTCGAATAGCAATGCTAATCACTCCGCTATTCTAGTTTCCAGTTTATCATTTTTTTATTATTATTATATGTAATTAAGTTAAATATTATTTGTAATTTAAATTTTTTAAATTAAATTAAATACATTCTATTATATTTTATACTTGTATTTCAATTAAATTTATTTTATTTTAGCTGAATTTATTTATTTTAATTTTTGATTAATTAATTTCTTCAATTTATATTAATTATTATTTTGTTTTGCCTAACTTTATTCCATTAAATATTTTTATTTAATTTTATTTTATTTTATTAAGTGTAGTGTTCTTAATTTAGTTTATTTTAATTGATGTAGATTTATAATATTTCATTTTATTATTCTAGTTTTAGTTTACATTGCTTCATAATATTTTACTTATTTTATTTTATTTGTTACTATCTTTTGTTAATCAATTTTTATTAATTTATTTTATTTCGTTTTTTTTTCTTTAGATTAGTTTCTTTTTTTTAAATTTTTATTTTTGTTATATTTTAACTTATTTTGGTTTATTGTATTTGACTTTATTTCATTTCGTTATTTCAGTTTTAATTTATTTTATTTCTGATTATAATTTTTAATTTTATTATACTTTAGTTTATTATATTTATTTATTGTTTACTGATATTATTTGATAATATTATATTATTTGCAATTAGATTAATTTTACAATAATTAATTTTACAGTTTTCCGTTTTTTATTTTACTTTCTTTTCATTTCACTCTTTCTTTATTTTATTTTATTTAAATTAAAAATTTTTCTTTAATATTATTATAATTTATTTTCGATAATTTTATGCATTATTTTAATTTAATTATTTTGGTTTATCTAAAGTTCTTTTATTGGATTTCTTGAATTTAAGTTAATTTTTTATATATTTAAAATAATTTTGTTTTATGTTTTTTTATTTATTTGTTTCTTAATTTTATTTCTGTTCGTTTCATTGATTTCGTTTCATCATATTTTTTTATTTCATTTTTAATTTAATTTATTTTTAATTTTTTTTTATTTTTATTATATATAATAGTTTGCCCTGTTTTTTACTTTATTTTACTTTAATGATTTTTTTTTATTAAATTTTCCTTTTTATTTTATACTATTTTATTTTATTTTTCTTGTATTGTTTAATATATTTAATAAAATCAAGTATTACATTTTTTAAATTTTTAAATTTTTTAATACTATTTAATAAAATCAAGTATTACGTTTTTAAAATTTTTAAATTTTTTAATTTGTTTTAATTTATTTATTTAATTTAATTTTAATTTTATTTTATTTGATTTGTTTTTATATTTCAATTTAATATTTTTATTTTGTTTCTTTTACATTTTTTTCTTTTCTTGTCTTATTTTATATTTTTTCGCATTTTTATTTCCAACTAAAAGTTATATTTAACAAAAAAATAATTAATATCCTTCTTTTGCTTACTGACCAATTATAGCCATTATTATTACAGCGGTTTGATTGTCATCTCTGGTTGGCAGTAGATTTGTGGCCAAGCAGAATATTCCAGGCACAAGCATGTACGCTATGAGACTTCGACGCAAGCCCACCTTTAAAACGACGAAAATACTAACGCAAACCGAAATCGCTTCAATTGCACCAGCAACAATCTGAATTAAAGAAAGTAAAACATTTAAGTCAATATTGAACTTATCACTTTTTAAACATTTCCCCACTCTTTACTCCATCAACTCACCGTATTCAAATAGATATCGCCACCCAGATTGCTCAAATGCAATGTCAGGCCATAGTAGACGATAATTAAAGTGAGCCAGACAATTAAGTTCAGACAAGTTGTGCGCCAATAAAAACGATTAAATACCACCTTCAAGGGATTATCATGAGTGGTGGGAATGGCGGATTCCGTGGTGTTGGGAATAATCGTTCCCACATGGTTGGCACCACCACCGTCAGGCGTTGCTAAAAATGCAGGTATTGTTTGTTTTTGTTGTTGAGACTCTATTGGGCCATTGTTTGGCGGTGGTGCTGCTGCTTCCAATGTTTTTCTATAATTTGGTGGCAATATGCGTTTATTGAGAGTGGCAGCACGTTCAACTAAAGAATATAATTCATTGAGACGTCCTTGAGCGAGTAGCCAACGTGGTGATTCCGGCATACAATACCTACAATGGGAATGTTAAAAAGAATAGCATAATGTAAAATGTAGGTGGCAAATTAAAAAAAAAAGAAGAATAAAAAAAGATATAAAGTTCTGTCGTGATGGCTTTTTCTAAATAAAAGAAAAGAAAACAGTTTTAGATGATACCTAATAGTTGTAGACCTTCGAACCTTGTTCAAATAATAAAGAACTCAGATAGTGTAGTGTAAAATTTTCATCATTCTACTCGGACGTTTTCTTGTTCTTGACATCTGGCCATAGTTTATATTAAGCCGCCTCCGAAAGATTTTTTATGAGGAGCTTTATTTTATGCCAGAAATACACTCGGAGGGGTTGACATTCTCTGCAGAGGGGCGACCGCAATTAGAAAATTTAACTTATTTTTTTTTATTTAAATTAATTTTCTATAACTTTTTGGATGTTAGTACGACACCAGGATTTGAAGCCGAATGGCAGTGGTGACCCTGCGACCTTGAAATTCCCTTTCCCTTCTCTCAGCATCCTTCTCTTCTCTATTGATATATTTGCCAACGCTCTAGCTAGTATGAGCAAGTGGAAGGGGAAAACGATGATTATAGCCTTTTTTGGTAGCCGTGGAATCTGTCATAAAGAATTTCTTCCTTCGAGGCAAATGGTAAATAAAGGGATCGCCGTGTTGCAACAACCGCCTCATTCACCCGATATGCCACCCGGTGACTTTTTTTGTGCCCTAGAATAAATTCAGTGGTCAAAGGAACCCACTTTGAGTCGATTGAGGACATACTCGGGGATATCCCAATCGAATCGTTCGAGAAATGTTACGAAGCATAAAATACGCGCTGAAATCGTTGTATATCTGCCCAAGTGGACTACTTTGAATGGAATGGCAGAGTTTTAGAATAATTTTGAAATACACTTTTTTTTTTGAATCAGTGTCACCTACTTCAAGTCAGACACCTACTTCAAGCATAGCTGTTTTGAAAGCACAATAAAAAGAATATATGTATTTGATTGCGAGGACCTCCTAATGCATTATTTCACCAGCTCGATGGATTTTGGGTCAGCCTATAGACACTATTCACAGTGAGTCTATCGACATCTTGCTTAATATGTCCCCCATGAATGGTGCAATTGGTGTTCACGCGACGCCTACCGCATACAAAGAGCTGGAGCTGCCTCAAGAGACTCTAGTAAGAATATTATAGTAGACTGAGCACTGAACTTCTACTTATTAAAACTCTATCCTGACTCAAGCAATACTATCAAGTCTCTCCTGTCTCTCCCCATCAAAAACTCCTCGCCCTCTGTGCCGTACCCATGATACCAATATATTTCCTTAGAACTTGTGATACGTATTAATCGATTAAGTCATTTCAGTAATCGGTTTCCCTTAATTGGATTAAGAACCACAATAAAAAGCCAAGGGTTAACTAAATAGTCTCATACAGTAAATATCCATATGTATTTTTGCTGGAATAAAATGAGCATTACAATAACAAAACGGCCCAATAGAACTAAGATGATAAGAAAATGGATAACAATAAAATCCAATAAGAAAATACTAAAGTCAGTCAATATTTGCAACAACAACACCAATAGTTACGACAATAAATATTAGAGAAACAATAACAAAGAGAACAAAATAAATTGAAAGGCTTTGGTATTTTGATTTGATTGCGGTGGGAAGAGAGCAACAAAAATGTACATACGAGGTGTGATCAAAAAATATCCGTTATTTTCACATTTCACATTTCGTGAGTTACGTATGTCTGCTATATATGTTGCAAATACCAGCCATTTCAGATTGTCCGTTTGTTTTTGACAGATAAAGAGGTTAGTCGTGTTTTGGTGTGCTCTTCGATCTTTTACTATTCGACAAAATGGATTAAAGAAACTGTATTAATTTTATTAAGTAAACTACGAGGCCTGGTTGTTTGCATGAATTGAATATTTGTTATACAAGAAAAAAAATGGTAGAAGTGACAGCTGTTTCGGAGATCACCACATCTCCTCATCAGACTTCTTATGACAGGGATCGAACCAACGGATCCTGACTTAACAGGCGAGTGTTCCACCACTGCAAAATGTATTAAGTTTTGCGTAAAAAATGAATTTGAATGCGCAAGGATATTTCAAATATTGACTGTGGCGTTTGGCGAGTTTACTATGAGCAGAACACAAGTTCAATTGTGTTATAACCGGTTTAAGAAAGGCCTAGAAGATGTCAATCACAATGCTCGTCCAGGTCGTCCGAGCACGTCATTGAGTTTTTGGCCAAAAACGAAACTATCATCGTGCCTCAACCGAACTTGGACTCGAATGAACTTTTCCTCTTCCCAAAAGTGAAGACACCATTGTAAGGAAAGCGTTTTGCAACGATTGAGAAGATAAAAGAAAAATCGAAACAGGAGGTATTTGGCGATAACAAAAAACGCGTTTCAGAAGCGTTTCGAGGAGGTGAATTACTTTTAAGGAGACAAGATAGTTATTGATGAATAAATAAATACTTTTTGAAAAATTGTAAATAACTATTATTTTCTGATCACACCTCGTACACATCCAACTGCTTAAATATTTATGTAAACACGGTGTGAGGGAGAGCAAAAAGAACAGAAAAAACTGAAATAAAAATGATAAACGAAAAGAAATGAAACAAATTTATGCGAACTTTCATACTGATTCATGTTCGATTGTATGTACATATGTATGTATGTACAAAATAGATATTCAACAAAAACGTTTAAATAATTCTTTGTTATGCCATGGCAAAACGAATGTAAAATGAAAATGTTACAGGAATATAACTGGGGGACATTAGATAAAGCAGAAGAAATCAGTAAGGCATTACAATTCATTGTTTGCCACATGCCACCGGAGCTGTTTGCGGTGAAGTGAAATTGATTTTAATTCCAATGTAGCGGTTTTTTGTAGCATTAACCAAGGGTCCACTTCGGAAAACGAAATTTCGAGGGTAAATGACAATATGTTTAACATATGTAAGTGAATGCATGAATACTTTATATGCACATTTCGAGAAATTCAAACGAATCGCAAGGAAAAAGGTCGAAAATGCTGGCTAGAAAGGGTTAGGAATGTATTTGTCACAAATACAAATACATACATACATATGTTGTGCATAAGTAAATGGCTTGCAAGGAACCAATTTAAAGGCTGAATTGTAAACAAATTGAATAAGTTGTTTTTTTTCATTTGTAAAATGTAGAAAAGTTGTTTTTACCTTTTTTACAAATTAAATTTGAAGTTATTTGGATCAAAGAAAACCAAACCAACTGAGTATGTGTATCATTTGCCAAAAAAAACGAAAGGAAAATTTAATAGATTAAGCACATGCCAATTGATAATGTTTCCTATGTACATAGGTATGTATTTTAAAAGGATTTATATTTATAAAAATTGAAAGAGTGAAAAATCTTAGAATTCTTAGATTAACATTTCAATCATTTGCTTCATTTCATAATTTTTGTTGAATTTTTGAGTAATCTCTGCTTAATAACACCAATAAATTCTACGAAAATCTCCAACAAGAATGCTCGAACTGTTTTTTCCGCTAATGTCAAAAGTCGGGTGGTAAGCATTGCAGACCTGCAGAGTGTCCAAAATTAAAACAAAATTATTTTTCTTATTTCGATTACCCCTCGGCAGAGACCGTTAAGCCCACCGAGTGTAGTTCTAACATGAAATAAAAGCTGTTCGTAAAAATTCATAGGCCGTTCATAGACGTATAACACATATTGGATGGAGACCTCTACCGAAAATCGCTTCAGTTACAAAGCGCCAATTATTTATATTCCCCATATAATTATTCTCGGTTATGAATATTTGGCAGCCGTTTTACAACATGTGGCAAGAGTAAATAAAACTATGTTTTCCCAACAAACTTGAGCCATCCGCAATAAAAGGGCAACACTCTTCACAATCTTATGGAAATTCTTTATTTTGATATCCATTTTGCTTTATCAATCTTTTAAATTAAAACTTTCAGGCTTACACCTTTTCAAATCGCATTGAGCCTATCTTAAATACCATATACTTGCTACCTAAATATACATATTGTATCAATTATTTTCTTAGGGGGCTCACCTAGTATTTCGGTAGATTACACATTTACAAATAACATATTAAAATTTCAAATCGATATCGCAAATAGTTTTTGAGTTATAGCAATTCAAAGAGCAGCCGGTCGGCAGCTAGAGAGTCTCATTAGCTACGAGTGAAAACGATCATTTTATCTTTAAACGCGCTTTTCTCGAAACAGCATTTTCCGAGTTTGCTGCAGTGATTACTCAAAAACAAATGATCCGATCACTATCGAACTTTTTTACATGTTCTATATATAGTTCTCCGTAACGACCAACATTTTTTTTAGATTTCATTCACGGAGAAGGCCGGAATCCCAGCAGCAGTGAAGGACCTTTTTTTCGCGCCGTTGGAGATTGACTATAACTTAAAAAATATTTAATTATTTATTCAAAAATTTCACTGTATATTCTTGAAAGCTGTATAAATATATTCTTAAAATTTTGAAATAATTGATAAAGAATTTTTTTTAATAAAAATTCCCAAAAATCACCTTTTTTTAGCATCACACTAGCTGTGCCCCTTAACAAGTTGAATGCAATTGCGATTCCGAAAGGTGTCCTCCCAGAAAAATATTTTCTCGACTGTAAGTCTTCAAAATTCTGTTTAGTTGAAGACTGTCAATACTATTCATGGTAACTTTTCTCAAAAGATGCTCCGCCAATAGGGTTTTGAAGATAATTTTACTCTATAGTACCGAGATGTGATACAGCGCGTTCAAAATATACTCTTATAGTAAAGCATTGGAAAGTATATATGGGTCTGCATACCTGGATCACTACAAGAGTTACTCTAGGAAGGTTTCACAATCTACAGCCAATCGCAAATGAAAAGTGTGACATTGAAATCGGACTTGATTTTGGCGGGATCTATTGCACTAGATTTTCTGGGTATAGTTCTAAAAGAAACCAATTGGATTCTTCTTCTTCTTCTTGATTGGTGTACAGACTGCTATCGCGATTATAGCCAAAACAACAATTGGGGGGTAGTCGTTTAATCTTCTTGTGAATCGGCGCCAATTGGAAAAAATAAATAAAGTCAAGTTCTTCAGCTCCCGATACTTCTAGCAGAGTGAAGGTATTCATTTGCCTTCCTCTACATCAAGCACTGGGTATTACATCGTTCATGCAGACATCGTGACCGAAATGCCAAAACCGCTGCCTCTTATTTTTTGTCCATATTATATTCCATATTATGTGTTATTACAATGTCGTCATTTCTCTCATAGAGCTTATAGCTCCAAACGATCAAAACTCTTCTGCAAACCTTTTCGAAAACTTGAAGACTCTTAAAGACGACTTATCGGTTATTGTCATTGTACAGTTTTGTTTTTATTTAACGACATTTTCCTTTCAATTGCCAAGTCCAAAGTATTTGATTTTGGCAAAAGGGATTATTTTGGTATTATTGTTGTTTCCTACACCGAAGAAATTGGCTGCGGCTTCAAAGTTAGGACCATCAACAATATAACCACTGGCCATTTGTGTGATGGCAGACAATATTTCGTCTTGCTCTCGACCACTACTAGACTCATTCGCCCGGAATTCTTATCCAGTCTGGAAAAAGTAAAACTCAACAGACGGTTGCTTAGGCTAAAGATGATTATATTGGATAATTGCATTATTTTCTAGACGGAAGTGTTCGTGTTAAGAGAAACCGTCAAGAAATGTAGTAGTGCGACTACGCAGAGGCCACAAGGGCATGGTGAGAATGAAAAAGAAATGCAGAAGGCATTAAAGGTACTTTACAATAACAATAAAACTTGAAAAGGGTTCAAAGCAAGTTGGAATAGGTTACAACATACAAGTATCTGAAGAAGGATACACCACATTTCTGAAACCTTATTATATTTCTTTGTCCCACCTAGTCCAGAACATATCTCAAGCATTTAGCGGCTTCGTAATTCAAAAACTAGAAGAAGTCTACCTGTTTTGGTGACCGAGTTATATATATGTGTATTTTATTTGCGCTTTTTAACCTCAGAAGCAATTTTCGCCTGTGCTCCTTCTCGAAAGGCTGATAAATTTTGTTTCATGACAGAAATACCCTCCCTGCCGTGGGACAACCGTATTTAGAAAAAGTAATTTTGGTTGTGTGAATGGCAATACTCAATGCAAACCACTCAGTTATTGCGGCCGCGGAGTTAGTTTCGTAAAATTAACTTTAATTACATTTATAACATGCTCAGTCTTTTCGTTATTTTTTTCATAAAATTATTTTTCATTGCCCTAACAGAATATTTTTCTCTTACCCCCAAATATGTTAAATACGTATTTTTGGAAAATGTGGAATGTGCCTTGGATGTTTTTTCACATTAGCCCAAATTTGATTGAAATTTTTTCCTAATTTCTTAGATAATTTATTTATACATATTTAATACATATGTAGAAGTAGTTACGTAGTTCACCGTTACTTAACGCATTACGTGTTTGAATCTTTTGCACTTACCAAATCGATAATGCCGCCAGCCAAGGTAATGAAATGATGAGCTGTAAATTTCGCCAATCTCGTTCAAAATATGCTATACAAGCCATGAGTATATATGAGATCGGCACTGGCAATATGTTCAGGATGCCAGTGATGGTACGCCATTTGCCGGAGACCAATTCAACGACGAGAACGAAACTAACTACGTTAACAGTCATCGATGCAAAACCAGCCACGACACGCAGTGACATGAACATAGCCAAATCGACGGAGTATGCCAGTAAAGTACCTGCGAAGAAAATAAAATATTATTAAAAATGTGAGTTGAGTTCCTAAATGGTGTTGGGCGAGTAATGATAATGACTTTAGTGGGGATTTAGGCAGGGAGTGTCAAGCCTTCGAATATATTTCTGGATTTGAAATAAAGGATACTCATAATAAAAACCCATCGCCTTTTCAAGGCTCCGAAGCTTTAACTCGAATTGATTTTTTAAATCGTTCGATTTACATGAAATTTGGTACAGAGGCTCCTTGCCTAAATTGACAAAGGGGTCTGGGATCAAACACTACAAAAGGTTCTAAATTCGATGCGTATATTTTTTTTATCTGTCACCGACTGTACATAATTTATTACAGCGCAGTCCTATTTTCTTTTTATATTAGTTGGATATGGCCTAAAGTTGTTCGATTTATCGATTTTTACATTTATTTGTTCGATAGGGTATAACCAGAATATGAAATCCATTGAAAGTTGAGAGAAAAAGTCTTCCCTTAATATATGAATTTACCTTTAGTGATGACAGATTCGGATAATTTTTCTTTAATAACTGTGAGCAAGTTAATAAATTGCATAAACTATAGGGCGTTGCAGCTCTTCGGCTGAAAATGCCGAGCGGTCACGAAGTTAATGCCGGCTCATTAGTGAGGACACGCCCCACCAATTCAAAATCACTCAGATATTCTTACATTGGTTTTAGCACTGAATTATTAGAGGTAAAAATTTGGTCAAAATTTTTTTTATCTGATTTGATCTTATCAATCTCTATGATACAATCAAAGTTTGTCCCTCCAACATCCCCGGCCGAAGTATAAATATTGCTCTAAAATGTAATTCACCACAACTCACCGGATATAATCTGTACCAATGCGAAAATCATCAGCGTATGCTTGCGACCAAAACGATCTGAAATCCAACCGCTCGAAACACTACCCACCGCAGCGCCAGCTAAAAAGCACATTTCCACAACACTAACAAACCGTTCACGACTGCAAACCAAACCGAATTCCTCAATTAATGAGCGGGCACTCCCATCAGCGCTGGAGAATTCGAAATTTGTGCACGGTATAAGTTGAGCAACTTCGGTGGTAGCAGTGAGATTCGGTAGTTGTGTGTAGTTAAGATTTAATATGGAACAGGAGCCGGCGGGCTGACTTAGATTACGCCAGAGTGACACATCCATATCGGGTGCATTGTCGGGGCGCGCACACCAGTAGTCCTTGGCGACGGTCTAGAGTGGTTAGGAGAATATATAAATTAGTTACTTGAAATGCATGCGGAATTAAATGTAATAAATATAAATAATTGTGTAGGAAAATATATTATAATAAATATGTTATATATAATTACCTTTCACATAGGTGTTGGCTTTGCATTAATTAAAGTAATCATAAATTCAAGTTTAGAGAAAAATTAAATTTTTTTTTATTGCAAGTCTTAACTATTTATACCTGCAGATGTTTGGCCAAGTTATGTTTGCAATATGCACAGATATCTACATATATGTATACATGTTAGTGGCACTAGGGTGGTCTAAAAAGTTTATAAGAACTCGAAGAGACGACTTTAACAGCTCAAACTAATATATTGTGGTTGCCGTGCCACCAGGAATTTATGTTTTGTGTAATTTTCTCAATCGATACTCCACAACGATGAAAGATTTTAGCGGTAAAATATATTGCTGTTTTTCACACCAACAGGGTGATACCAAATAGCCAGCGATAACGTTAACCTCTGAGTTTTATTTATAATAAATTAGCGCCCAAAACCAGATCATCAAATTCTGATCGCAGAGGTAATCGCTACAAATAAAGCGAGGACCATCTACTGGCCCATTTAACATTGACATCGATGACATTGCTGATGTCAGGTTTGAGAAACGGTCAAGTTTACGCTTGAAGTGACAGCCGAAATATTGAAACTTTATTTCCAAATTGGCAAGTCTTTAACGGCAACTGTCAGAAAATATCGCACGAAATTCGGGTTTGCGGAGCAATTGGTGCAGCGAGTTCGCCAAATTGGTTCATTATCGGACAAAACAACTCGTGTGCGTACTCGGTCAAAAGAAAATATTGCTCCCATTAATATCAATTCTACAGCATTGTATATAATCATTTCGAACCCAGACCATGGTTATATGTTTTTTTAAAGTTCATTTAAATGAGACCACAGCACCCTTCGATCCGATTTTACTTCGTTTAGAAGAAGACAGTTTTTACTGTAAGCTTATTTTCGCCACGAAGACTAGTTTTTATAATGGAAACTTTTCCAGATCCACTCGTTATTTATTGAAGATTCGCAATAGCGGATTATTTAGCAATACGTACTGCCGTTCGAAAGGCCAGGGTTCGTGTACTGTGTCCGTCCAATACAAAAAATTAAGGAAAACAGTTTTCTAATTGCGATCGTTGCTCGGCAGGGTCTATAAAAGTTCCTTTTAAAAATGCATCGGCCATTCGGAGGCGGATTAGCATGAACTGCAGGTCCTTCCGTTGGGTGGAAAAACTTCGGTACACACGCCACAAATTGGTGGAGGAGTCTAAACGAGAATAGCTTAAGCGGTTCCGAAGCGTTTATTATATATTTATTATACTCGTATTTCACATAATAACCTTCAAAAGGCTGACTTTCGACACACCCCTAAGTAAGTACTTAAATCATATTTATTTGACCCAAATTCACCAACTGGATAAGACTTTTAGCACCAATGCGTTGGTGGTAAGTCATAAAATTCTGTCACAAACTCTGGCCTTAATTCACTGAAATGTATGTATGAAAATCACATACTAGTTGATATTTGTTATACTTCAAGCTTACACGGATTAACAATTAAATTGATAGATAATAATATGCAAAGCACCGGCAGTACATAATAAAGAATAAAATTAAAGTAATTCAAAACTAAATAAAATCAGATGTGCAGGTGAACAAATGGCAAGAACGTGACCTGTTGTGCGCATTGATTTTTGCATAGAAAACTCATAGACACATATACACATACAGAAGCGTTGAAAATCCAAAATGCGAAATAAAATCTTAAGCCGATTCTCTCCATTATTATTGACATTTCTTAGTACATTTTGCATTTGCTCTGTTTAGCAGCTCTGGCTGCGGCGAGTTTTTAGTTTTACGAAAAAGAAAAAAACTAGTTCTTATTGTTCTTATTAATAAAAAGTTGTTTCATGCCATGACGAGATTCGAACACCACAGCAGGTGGAGCTAACGGCTAGCCGGGAAAGTTACTCAAACACGGTGAGGAACTGACAAACTTCTTTACAATATTTGATCGGACGAAAGTATTCTCGACGGTAGGAATTTGAATTTGCTCTGTCCGTAAAAAAGGAGACTCCAGAGTCTGCGGTAATTACAGTGTCATATAGAGTCCTATCGAGCGTATTGTATGAAAGATTAAGGCTCTGGTAAATCTATTACTGAACATATATTCACCATGCACTAAATCTACGAATAGACTAGTGAGAAAAAAACAATCGACCCTACGCCGCTTTATCAGAATTTGGTATCCCTGCAAAGCGTATACGAGTGTGTAAACTCTCGCTGGTCAACAACAGAAGCGTAAACATAATTGGGAAGTACCTATCCGAGTCGCTCGGTGCCAAACAAAGTTCAAAATGTGATTTCATCAATTTGACGCTGTGGCAAACAATAGGACCTGGAGAGCTAAACCGACAGGGCAGAATATTTTACAAGAGTAGACAACTACTGGCGTCTGCCGATGATAATAATATCATAAGCCTTAACAACAGCGCCGTTAGTTCTGCTTTCTCCAGGCTTCATAAAAAAGCGAAGTGAATGAGTCTGGTAGTGAACGAGGATAGAGGACAAGACGAAATATCTCCTGTCATCATCGCATTCGGGACTTGGCTCCCATGCCACAGTGCACAGCGTCAACACCCATAACAAAGTGAGTAGGTAATTGCAAAATAAAGTTCTCTCTCGACAAAGAATGATAGAAACCTACAAGTCGCTGAAAATTCCTTTCTTGAAATAAGATTCGAAAGCATAGACGATGAAAACATTTGATTAGTCGTTGTAGGGAATTTTTGAGAGAAAGTTTTTGCGTCCTCTACGAGTTTGTAACAGCATGCAAAGCAGTCAATGGAGCGAAGTACGAGTTATATAATGATATTGATATAGTGCAGTGAAAGAAGAAGACAGCGGCTATGTTGGGTAGATCAGTAGTATTTGATTTAGTACCCGCTGTTGAAACCACCGACAGAGGAAAACCTTCACAACGTTGGAAGGAACAGGTGGAGAGGGACCTGGACTCACTAGGTATTTCTAATTGGTGGCAGACAACGGAGAAGGAATGAATTGCGTGCCATTGTTGGTTCAGAAAATACCACGCCGAGGGGCGAACGATATTAGAAAAATTTATGTTATATAATTTTGGATATTGGTCGAACCAGAAAACGAACTCTGACATTTAGAATATCAGTACGCTTGCCTAACCACTAGATCTAAGGAAACACAGAAAAGTGCGACGGAGTATTTTATGTTCGTGGAAGGTTATGAGGGGTAAGGGATGTAAATAAAAAAAAAAAAAATTTTTCCTTGCTAATATCTTCATCTTTAATTTTTTTCCGGAGCTATGTCTAGGCACAGTCACCTTTGTTGTTGTATGTCACCGCAAGAAGTCTTGTTTTAAATACCGGTTAATAATAATGGACCCAAGTTTCCTCATGAACACGATCAATCGCCGTGAGTGTGAGCATTCGCGGCACCCATCTTTTGCTGACCTTAATGAAGCCAAAATGATTGTGAATTGATTTTATAAGTTATTCCAGCCATTTCTGCGACCTGTCTTTTTTTTGTAGAGCATCGTCGAGGAGATTTTTTCAGGTTTTTCGCTAAGTTCTGGCATATTCCCCGTGATGCTTCTACTATTTCTTCGGTGGCTTTCTTTCAAGGAGCTGCCTCCCATGTTTAAGCATACTGTGTCATTTGTACATCAGGAGCTTTTCGGTGAAGAGTGACGGTACCTTTATAATGACACTATATATTCGATTTTTTCCATATTTCATCTTTCACTGCCGATTATGCCCTTTCGTTGGCGATATCGAATCCTCGTACCCATACTAATTACGAGTCAATATTACAATCCAAGTAAGCCTAGTCACCCTTTTACAAGTCTCTCAATCCCCGAATATAAAAGCGCTCCTTTGTATGTAATGTAAATAGAACAAATATTAAGGCGTTTTTATGAGCTGAGCTCAACTCCTCATCTCTTTTCAACTTGTTAGCTATTTAGAAGAAAATATATAGCATACATTTAGATATTTGTGAAGTAAAACGTATTTATGAAAATTAAAAAAAAACGGGACTTTCTTATACTTAATAATTTGAGAACTCGTAAGAGTGGCCACACTTAGCTTTTCATATTAATGCCTTCAGCAAGGAAAAATGAAAAAAGAAACTTTCAATTTTTATTTACATAAATTTATGTATATTTAAACTCATATGCATGCCTAATTATGAATATGTAAATGAAACATATGTATGTAGGTGATTTTGGCCACCTTTGCCTCAATTACATTTAACCCCATCAAGGCAATTATTAAAGTGTCTAGTACATGAAGGTAACTGCTATTGCACTATTGTATGCAGTCAGGTGTGTAAACGTACCATGCATACATACATATACTCGTATGCATAAACAATTCACAATATATCAATCAAGTAAATCTAGCACTCGTACATATGTAGTTATATTCATACATATATGTATCTATGCCACAAACGAGTGGAAATGGAGAAATACCAGTTCAAAGTCAAACACAAAATCCACAAACAAAAGTAAAAAGTGAATGAAAAAAGGAATAGAAATAAAAGTAAACATACACACATACATCCATGCAAACATACGTGTATGTTTATAGTAAAAAAAAAAATAGTATAAATAAAATAGTAATTAGTCATTTTGCAGCAATAACCATTACAAAACCTCATACATTTTGCTGGTGTTGTTACTTACTTACAACATTAGTGATTTGGAACAACTTTTACTTGTTTACGAAAAGCCGACAGCAACAAACTCACTTTCATTTAAGGCTATTACGTTAATTTCTCAATTAACATTAACTTGAACTTGAAAATGCTTCCGAAAAAAAGATAAAACCAACAACACATTCGCATAGATATTAAAAAAAGGAAATGATTGTTGCTTCCGACGCTTAATATGAACGATTTTCACTCATTTGATGGCAAAACGTG